TTTTTTTTTTTTTTTTTTTTTTTAAGATTTCTGTGGCTTCATTTGGAGTCTAGCAGGGACTTCATTAGAAAGCTATTTTATTTTGAAATTTTTTTTCTGGTTCTGGCGATTGAACTCAGGACCTTGCACTCGTGAGGCAGGCAGCAGCACCACTGAGCTAAATCCCAGCCTTGTTTTCATTCTTAACCATCATTTCCCCCAAACATTCCCCATCCTCGCTCTCTCTAGTTACATGTGTACTAGTCTGTCCCCTGGGTCTGGGCCCTCAGTCCCCAAGGCTGTTTGGCCTGCGCTTGTTTCTCCGTTTCCAGTTGCATCATTTCTGTTGATCTGACTTAAAGTTCACAGCAATCCACCATAAACTCACCCCGTGGCCTTTTCAGTTCAGTCTGTTTCAGATTAGAATTTGCATTTGGTTCTTTTTTATAGAGCCCAGTTCTCTGCTGAGATTCGCTATTGGCCTCTTATTAAGAATTTATTTTCCTGCCAGGCGTGGTGGCGCACACCTGTAATCCCAGCACTTGGGAGGCTGAGGCAGGAGGATCGCTGTGAGTTCGAGACCAGCCGGGCTACATAGTGAGTTCCAGGTCAGTCTCAACTACATAGTGAGACCCTGTCTGAAAAAAGAAATTATTTTTCTTTAATTCTTTAAACATATTCTCCTTTGCCACTTTTAAATATTTTAATAGCTTTGTTTAAAGTCTTTGCTAAGTACAACGTCTGAGCTACCTTGGGCTCACTTTCTATTGACTGCCAGTTTTCATACCTGTTGGTCGCATTTTGTTGTTTCTTTGTATGAATAAGTGTTGGACTGAGCACCAGACTTGTGGATAATACATTTTTTTTCACTGTGACTATTTTTAAGCAAACATTTATTGGTGCATTTAAGTATACAGAATAATAACTCATCATAGGGAATTTGCACCCATACACAATACGTCTTGCTTCTTTTTTCCCGTTTCCCTCCCCTCTTGTGACCCCTCTTCTTCTCCTTATTTACAAAAGCTTTGTTTCCATTTTTCCTTCTGTTCTCTTTCTTCTCATTCCTTTTTTCCTTTCCCCCTCCCCTCTCCATGTTTCCCTTCTCATTAGAATATTTTCTGGCCATTTCCCAATGTGCATTATACATTTGGTCCTTATTTCCACTTTAGTTTTCTCACACCACAGAAACAATGCTGCATTTAATTGTGTGTCCAATTTAACTCACTTAAGAGCATGGTTTCATGAGCTGGGCATGGTGGCGCACGCCTGTAATCCCAGCACTTAGGAGGCTGAGGCAGGAGGATCACTGTGAGTTCGAGACCAGCCTGGGATACATAGTGAGTTCCAGGTCCATCTCAACTACATAGTGAGACCCTATCTCAAAAAACAAAACAACAACAACAACAAAAAAATCCTACAACAGTATGGTTTCAGGCTGCATCCATTTAGCTAGAAATGTCTCAAGCTTACCCTTCTTTATGACAGAGTAGTACTCCACTGTATTAAAAAAAAACCCACATCTTCTTTATCCATCATTGGTTGATGGGCAGTTGGGCTGTTTCCAAGATTTAGCTATTACAAACTGTGCTGCTAAAAACATGGGTGAGCATATATTGCTCTGATATGATGCTTTTAATTCTTTTGGGACAGTACCAAGGACGGAAATAACTGGGTTGAATAGGATCTCTAGTTCTAGTGTTTTTAGGTGCAGTTCCACACTGACTTGCACAGTGGTTTCACCAGCCTACACTCAAGGGTTCCTTTCCCACACAGCCCAGCTAGCATTTACTTACTGTTGGTCGATTTCTTGGTAGCAGCCGTTCTTTCTGGAGAGAGATGGAACCTCAGCGTTGCTGATAATACATCTTAGAAACCCTGGGTTTCTTTCATCTTCCTCAGACAAATGTTGACTCTTGTTTGAGCAGGCAGTTCAGCCATCATCAGATCACAGTGAACACAGCCAGGCTTCGTTCATGCTTTACTGGAAAGGATCTGGAGGAAGCCCGTAGTGCTTGCCAGGCCCTTCTAATGGAGAGATTCTGTGCTCACATTGTGTCTGTCTTACAGATCCATTCAGCTCTTGGCTTCTGGTGTGTTAGGCTGCCTCTGTCTCCTAAGGCGTAGCCTTCTCTGGGGCCAATGCTAGCAGTGTTATGAGGTATAAAGCCAACCTCTCCGCTCTGTAAGAGCAACTCTGGCCCTGGCATGCAGGACCTCTGGCACATTGGCTCTGTTATCTGCTCAATAGAAGCTGCTGTCTGCTAATTGCCCTCCGTGCATGGGCGGCCGGGCCTTCAGCTCAGACTCTAGAGGACCCTGCAAGTGCTCGGGGCCAGCTGCACCCGCTCCCTCCTCACACCACCTGCTCGCATGGGCAGAGGTGGCCTCCAGGTGTGGGCGCGGTGGCTGGGGCTGACCTCTCGGAGTGGCTCGCGCTTGCTGTTATCCACTGCGTGCAAATAGTCGCCTCATATATGCATCCAGTTTCACCACACTGTCTTGTCTGGAACTCCCACGTGAATGTAAACATGCTTTTGACCTTACTCCAGTGTTCTTATTATCAAAACCAGCTTGATGTCAGAAGTGAAGACTGACGCTCCCACAGGTCTGTGAGTAGTTACATTTCAGGTTAGCTCTACTGACGCGCACTGCTAGGACACATGGGCAAACTCCGTTGGGGGGCTTTTGTTCTTTCAGATAAATCTTGGATACAACTAACACATGAATTCCTCTCTTTAACAAAAAGCTGTCAAGAAGAGTAGAATAACACTGTTCTGTAAGTAAGCGCTTAGAAGTGCCTTCCTGCTGGCTCCATTTTAATAAATGTTTTATTTCTTACCCATTTAATAGATGTTTTTGTCAGGGAGGAACTTGGCTCTGTCTGACTGACATTGTTAACAGATGGGGTCATGTTAAACCAAGGTGACACTTCCTTTGTCTGTCTCCAGTGACTTTTCCTTGGTGCCCTTCAGATGTCAAGGGTTCTCGTGAGGTTACTGAGTTGATTAGCTATTATAGGAAATAAGAGGGGCCTGGGATTTAGCTCAGTGGCACAGTGCATGCTTCGCAAATGCAAGGTCCTGAGTTTGATCCCCAGTACCACAAGAAAAAAACAAACACAAACAAACAGAGTTCCTGGAAATAAGAAAAAAGAGTTAGCTAGGCATGGTGGCTCATGGTTGTAATCCTAGCACTTGGAAGGCTGAGGCAGGAGAATTGAGTTCGAGGTCAGCCTGGACTACACAGAGCCTGTCTCAAAAAAAAAAAAAAGTTTAAAATACATTTGTAAGAAGATAATAGGAGCTATGGAATAATCTAAAAACAAAATTGTAAGAAGAGATGTGTCAGTTAAGAGCAGCTATAGTGTATTAAATGTAGTTTTTAGTAATAATGGCGAACAGAGCATGAAACATGCAGAATTGAAAAATAGCTTTACTTTAAAAAATCATGAAAGTGCACAAAGAATATGAAACAGGCACAAAAAGAAAAGGCCATAAGTATATGAAAAGATACAGTTAAAGAAATATAAGCTAAAATTGTGAGATACTTATCAGATTGGCAATAATTAAAACAGTGCTCAGTGGGAATAAGGGTGTGGAGAAATAGGTTCTCTTATATACAGGATTGGGAATATAAACTGGTACGGCCTAAGGCTGGGGATTTAGCTCAGTGGTGCTGCTGCCTGCCTCACAAGTGCAAGGTCCTGAGTGCAATCCCTGTTACCAAAAAAACCCAAAACAACAACAACAAAAAACTGGTACAGCCTTTCTGGATAGCAGTGCACACACACTCTTACTCTGCTTTTTAGAAATTTATCCTGAAGCAAGGAGGAACGGCAGGCCTTTGAGAAGGAGAGTGGACAGGCAGACTCAGTGTTAAGGGATAAAGAGCTCATCTACCGCCAGCCCCCAGGTCCCTGAGTGTGCTCAGTTTCACTGAATCCGTGTTCCCACCCATAAAAGGAAATTTGTGGATAGGCTGATTGCTAACACTCTCTAAGATTCTATGAGTTAAACTTTTTCTTTTGTAAGCATTATCTCCACAACTATGAAGAAATGTAGATACTTAAAAATATTTTGGTAGCCAAGAGACTGGGACCAGCTGGCTTGTCCAAGACCACACAATGGTTAAGTAAATGATGGTACAGCCACACGGTAAAATACTGAAGTCATTAAATAAAACAGAGGTCTCCAAATGGAGCTATAGAAAGGTTCCAAGATATATTATTATGTGGGGAAAAAAAAGCAAGCTGCTAAGCAGTATGCTTGATGTGATCTCTTGTGTGTTTATAGAGTACAGATGTGTGTATGAAATGTTATACTGGTAGCAAATTTTTCTGGAAGGATACTCAAAAAAATGTTAATGGTTATCTGAAGGAGAAATATGTGGAAGATAGGGAGACATCGTTTTATTTCACAGTTCACCATCTGAACCCCCTAACAGTCTCCATCTATTACTTTTTAACCTCAAGTATGATTACTTGAGAGCAGGATTATAAGCCATTTTAATGTCATTCCTTATACCTTTTTCTATTAAAATATATTAATATATTTTAAAATAGAGTAAAAGGAAGGAAATCTTCCAAAGTATGTATTTGATTAATTAATGACCTTCAGGTTACTGGAATATGCTAGAAGCCGTTCAGTTGGTGCTTCAGAAGATCCCTCTTTCCTCACAGTCTGCCCCGTGCTGGGCTCTTTTCTTCTTGCAGACCTTTTATGTATCCATAGTCGATTTATGTGAAAATGTCGGGAAACACCCTACCACAAACAGCAGCACTAGCTTCACCAAAGAGCAAGCGGACACCATTCGCAGAATTCGAAATAGCAAAGACAGTTGGGACATGCTGGGCATCAAACTGGGGGCCTCACGGTAAGCAGTGCACCCAAGTGTTTAGAGCCGAGTGCTGACGCAGAGGAGGACTCGGTACCAGTGTTACAGTGCCATCTAACTTCCTTTACCTGGCTAGAAACATCAGGGTGTGTGAAACAGATTCTGTAATGACTACTTGGCTGGGTTAACTAAATACCAAAGATACAAAACAGAAAGCACAGTGCCTGCTAAGAGAACAAACCTTGGAACTAATGTAACCTAAAAAAAAAAATGAACTTACAAAAGAAAAATTTTAACTCATAGAATCTTAGAGAGTGTTAGCAATCAGCCTATCCACAAATTTCCTTTTATGGGTGGGAACACGGATTCAGTGAAACTAAGCACACTCAGGGACCTGGGGGCTGGCAGTAGATGGGCTCTTCATCCCTTAACACTGTGTCTGCCTGTCCACTCTCCTTCTCAAAGGCCTGCCGTTCCTCATCTGTGCATGTATTTTGTTTTAGCCAAAATACTTATTCAGGAAGAAAAGAAATGTACTTCCTGTTCTTCGTTGCTTATACAAAAATAAATGCTACCCAGTACGATAATACAACTCAGGGATACACTTCCGCCTTTGCTGCACGTAGTATAGCTGCAGGGCCCTTGTTCTGCACCCAGTGCCAGTTTGTCTGTCACAAGTTACCCACTATTGTCGCTCACACCAGGCTTTTTTATTGTTTTGCTTTCCTTTTATTGTTTTTCCTCCTTAGCCACTGCATTATCCCTGTGCTCCTCCCCAGCCCCCTTTACGAGCAGGCTTCTGGTCGGCGGGGGGGGCTTCCCTGGTACCCCAGGCCTGCCTTCCTTCCTTCCTTCGCAAAGGTTTGCTCAGTGCCTGCTTGTTTTCATCTGATCATTCCTTCACGTCCTTCAAGTCTCCATACTTGCTTTGCATTATATTCTATTCTTTCTGTTTCTCTGTGACCTATTATTTATTTGGTGGTCCTGTCTTTGAGAAAAGGGGATGTGCTTACTGCCTGTGCTGATTACTGCATCCTGATGGTGAGGCGGGCTGCCGCTGACCTGTTAGTGACTAGCGCTGGCTCTCTCTTAGGGAGGAAGTCAATAAAGCCTATCGGAAACTCGCTGTGCTTCTCCACCCCGACAAGTGTGTGGCACCCGGTAGCGAAGATGCCTTCAAAGCAGTTGTGAACGCCCGGACAGCCCTGCTGAAGAGCATCAAGTAGGGGACCAGGGACAGCGAGCTGGGACGCAAGTGTACACTGCCTTCCCCGGGAGGCGGAGTAACCAGTGTGGGGTTTTCTTCACAAAATCTCACTGCTCTGTTCACTCACGTGCTGTCATGTATGAACCAGTGACCCAGGGGCCTGTTAGCACCTCACAGCATTTTACAGCGAGGTGACCTGCATGTGTAGGAGGTGAGGGAACCAGGGGTCACCTGTGCGCCGCACCCCACGTCCCATTGTCATTCGTCGTAAGCCCTTCGACACTTCTCTCATGAAGGTCTACGTGGTTCCTAGAGAGAGGGAAGACAGTAGCAAGACCCTTTTTTCCCTTCTTTTTCTCCTTCTTTTTAAATTCATCATCAGAGAAACACAAGTAGGAGAGAAAATAGCAAAAACTAGTAGAGAACATCCCAGGGAACGGCCCCTGAGGGTCCAAAGTACTGTTCCTGTCGCTTGCTCCCTGTGTTGAGCGTTCTTTTGGTGGCCTTTTCACCATCTAGTGGACTTGGGCAGCCGTCTGAGGTTGGGAAGTGAAGCCGCACCTTTCTGAGTTGAGCAGCCCTTCTGTGGCATTTGCTCTGTCCCCTCATCCAGCCATCAGGCGAGAGACCAGCCAGTCCTAAGGGAAAGGCAGTGACACCAACGGATGCTGGTGCCAGTGCCAGTGCTGGTGCCGCTGCTCGTCCTGCCCGTCTGGACCTGCGCGAGGCCTTCCCCTGCCCCGGAAGCGGGCGCTGGCAGCCCTGCGCACCTGGGCACGAGTCTGAGCGCGGGGTGGAAGTGCTTGGGGCTCGCCTGGTGACGCCCACACAGGCCCAGGGCAAGGCCAGCCTAGTAGGTGCGTTTGGGGCCTGGAGATCCTGTTGGAGGCCTGGCCTTTTTCATTCTGAGGCAGGAGGGAGAGACAGGTTCCCCCCGAGCGAGCCCAGCCTCCTCCCCTTCACTTACCCATTTCTCCCTTCCTCCTTTACCCTCTTTGTTTTTTCTTTTCTTTTTTAAGAAACCTCACGTGTGCCATCAGGTCTCCTAGATTCACTGGCTTCCAGCCATGACTCCTGGTTGACCAGAGAGTGGAGACTTTCTAAGCCTCGTATGGGTCTGAATCTCGGTAATTTCTGCTTGGGCTCCAAATTTCTAAATAGTCATAATTTTGAACGACAGGTTATGAAAACTACTTTCACATAGAGAAATACATCCTGTGCCATAGTCTCCTCCTCAGGCTGCAGGGGTGGGTGAGGATCAGTGTGAGGACTGACATTTCTCACCACGCGCAGAGCCGTCTCATTACGTGACTCAGTGCATCATCGTGGTCTTCGTGTTACTCATATTTTTCGCTGCAACCACTTGTACTTATTGGAGCTTTGAAGTATATAAGATGTTGCTGTCTGTGAATTTTAAACAGCTAGCCCATATTGATTGCCAAGGAGCCTATACTGTATTACCTAAGAAGAAGAGTCCCTTTCTTCCAACCAGGCCACACTGCAGTCTGCGGCCTTTCCACCTCGCCCAAAGCCACGCCCCTCCTATGGCTGCACAGAGGTTGTTGTCAGAAACCAGAGCATTGTTTTTATTTTTGTTTTTTGTGGTGCTAGGGGTTGAGGCCGTGGCTCTGTGCCTCCTAGGCAAGTACTTAACCAGTAAGCTACATCTCCAGCCCCAGGTCATTGCTTTGTAATAGGAGTTTTCATCTGGGTGATAATCAAACATACTTTTTTTCTTAAAGATTGGAGACCTGATACATTGTTTTCTCATGGGATTTTCCCCTGGCCCTTCCACTAGCATCAGGGACCGCAGAGCTCCACCCCGAGTTCTGGACCCTAGGCTTGCTGAAGCCCACCCTCTTGCTTGAGGTGCTCCAACGTCGGTCGGCTCTTGGAGCAGGTGTAGGAGTCAGTGAGGGAGGGCAGGGGTCCTACGCAGCGGGGTCTCCCCACACTGACTGCAGAGCCCACGGAGCGCGGGCCTGTGTGCAGCTGGTGCCAGTGTTCGTCACGGTGATTAGACGCTCAGCCACTCACCTCAGTCAGCTGCAGTACGTTGTTCAGATGAGCAGCTGTGGCACAGAGAATCTTCTAGAGCTCCCATTCGCATCCTCAGGAGTGAGTTGTCAAAGTATAACTTTGGCTTGATTCTTGAGTCGCGGGACTCAGTTTCCAGCACCTTCATTATAAGCGTGCAGGATGGCCCTGCTATACTCATAGATGCGGAAGTATTAACATGAGAAAGTTAAGCCTCCAGGTCCTAGACATTATCTGATTTTCCTAATACTTCAAGCAGACCATTAAGAAATAGCAAAGCCTGATTTGCAGTGAAAAGGTCCTTTGGTACTAACTTCATGCAAAACTTTACCGATCTCTATGCATTAACTTAAATTCTTGGTGCAGACTTGTGCTTTGTAGTTCAGTCTTATCAAAAATTCTCCAGCAAGTTAGGATTTCAAAAATACACTGGTGAGAATCACAAGGAGCAGAATACTTTCAGTGGCTAAAAAGCGTTGTATAAAGAATCTTGTTTTTCAAGAAAGAATGAAACGTTTAAACAGCTATTATTAACAAAAGCCTATGTCTTCCACATCTGAGTCACCAAGAAGTAACACGTTTTAAACTTGTTAGAAATCCCCGGAGGCATTTTCAGCTTCATCTTCCAACCTCCCTAAGCACTTTAAAATACTTCCTCCTCCCATTTGTCTGTTCGCCTCTCAACTGTCAGTATTTCTTCTTTTAGCACTGTCATTTTATTTCTTCGTATAAATGTGTCTTCAGGTTTATTTGCCTGTTAATTTAAAAGTCCAGACTTGGGAGGCCTCGTGTTGCTACCCAAGGTAAACTGCGAGACTTCTACAGCTTGCACACCATTTTAAGGCTTGTATTTATCTCAGGAAACTTACTCTAGTATCTGCTCATGTGTTGCATTCCCAAGTGGTAAAGCTTTGCTTGTGCCTGTGCACTAGTACCTAATTCACTTTTACTTAAATGAGCCATAGAGAAGGCAGCCGAATGTCTGAAAGGTCACCAGAGCGAACCAGCGGCACCTGTGCTGAGTTAGTAACGTGGTGATCTACGGAGCGGAGGCAGAGCCACAGGCGAGGGAGGGGTTCCTGTCTCACCTCCGAAAGTGGGAGCCGGGGCTGGATGCAGCTGCCTCTGACAGCCACGGTGCCCGCTCGCCTGGAAGCTCGGTAGTCCTGTCCCAGCACCACTGCTCCCTGCTGCGCTCACTCCGAGGGTGCCACTGCTTTCATAAAACTTCTGCAAATGAATTTAGATGCGGAGGAGAGCTAACTTCCATTGCAAGATTGCAAAGTGAAGAAGGAGTTTGTCCTTCTTACACTTGGTGTGGAGCACAATTTTAAGACACAGTTAATGCTGTTTGGACGTTGATTTTTTTCCATTGACATCGCTGGAGAAGACAGAAGCTTTCACTTGTGATGTGGAAACATTAGGCTGTGTCTGACAAGCAGCATGGCGCCTCTTCCCGGGAGCCCTTCCGGCACTGATGGCTCCCGGGCCTGCTCCCCCTCTGACCGCCAGTGCATCTTTCAATAAACTCTTTGCTCTTACAAGGTAATTTACATACCTGCTTTCTGTTGAAATAACTAAAGTGTTGAGTCTGTGAGTTGTTTATGTCTTGTATACAGAGTGCCATACGTATTTAAGTTGTGTATTTTTATAAAGTAAAGCCAGGTATCATACATGCGTAGAGCTGCATTTATTTGTGTTATCCGGTACTGTTGGAGGCGGTGGGGGAGGAGGCACCGAGGAGAATGTGTTGCCAGGGAGAGCCTTGGGGCTGGCTGTCGGTCCCCAGGTGCTTCCTCTCTGGCTGTTTCGCTCTCTGCATCCTGGCTGCCATGAGGTCAGCAGCTTTCCTGTGCCACGCCCTGCCTTGGCGTGGCCTGAAGCAGTGGAGCCAGTCAGTTACCTATGGGCTGAACCTCCAAAACCATGAGCCAACATAGATCTCGCCTCCTCTAAGTGGATTTACATCGGGTGTTTGACGTAGCACACGGAAAGCTAACTGACACAGTGCAGGCTAGGGGCTGGGGCGCAGCCAGTAGAGGAAGGGTACAGAGCACGCACAAGGCCCTGGGTTTGAGCCCCAGCAATAGAAACAACCGAAAGAGGAGGTGGGGGAGGGAAAGGAGAGAAATAAGGAGGAGGGAGGGAAGAAAATAAGCAGACTATTATAATAATTCACTTAACTGATCTGTGGACCACCAGAACCCTAAGTCAAGACTGTGTTTACCCTCAAATTTGATGTTTTTGACACCGGGAACATTTGGTGCTTATGAGGGGGTTTTCCTGTGTTGCCTAGGATGATGTCAAACTCGTGAGCTCACCCAGTCCTCCTGCTTCAACTTCCTGAGATTGTAGGCGTTCATCACCACACCTGACCAAGAATTCGAATGTTTTGTAGGGCCAGTCCACAAGAAGCCAGAGCTTTCTCTGTTTTTGTTTTTGTTTGTTTTGTTTTTGAGACAGGGACTTGCTTTGTAGTCTAGGCAGGCCTCAAACTCACAGTAACTCTCCTGCCTCAGTGTCCGAGTGCTGGGATTATGGGTGAGCACCACCACACCCGGTCTCTACTTTTCATTTTTTTGTCAGGTATCGACATGGCCAGCATCCATCTCATCTGAGAAGGACGCACCCCTTTTTTGGGGAACTGCTCCATCTTCTCCATCCTGCTGATGTGTTCCAAAGGGGAGGCATATCCCGAATCTCCCAACTCTCCTGTGACCCGTCCTTCCTTCCTGGTCACAGCACTCAGTGCAAGGGACAGGAGTGACCTTGGCTCAGCCCATCAGTGTCTCCCTCTGGGCTCTAACTGAGCTAAGAAGACAGGAGTCCTGCGAACACCGCTACCCAGATTCCAGCTTCACGGGGAAACTGCAGGAATAAAGCAGACAGGCAGAGTCTTTCCTTCTAGTCCTGAGTCACATCATCCACCCCAGAATAAAAGAATATTAGGAAATAACAGCTACCTCTTTTTGTTGGTACACCTTAACCCTTTTATGTATTTTTATTTTGAGACAGTTTGCTAAGTTGCCTACGTAGGGCTTGAACTTGCAGTTCCTCCTGCCTCAGCCTCCCAGAGAAGTAAGATCAAAGATTTTTAGCAAGAACGAGAAAGCTGTAGTCTGTAGACTAGCATAATATTTGATAAGTATAATAGGTAATATACAGTAAAATATAGCCAATTGCTTGTCATCTACTGCAATCTGGCTGTGTTTTAACCACTAATTAGTTGTAAGTGGAAAATAGAAAATAGGTTTATTTACTTTGTTTCAAGATCAATTTCAGATGCAAAATTACATCTGGCTTTTTAGTTTCTAGTTGCTCCATTGCCTGTCGGGATCACCTTCAGTTTCCTAAATTTCTAATTAAATTTGATTGTTAAAATATTCATTTACCAGTCGGGCGTGGTGGTGCACACCTGTAGTCCCAGCACTCAGGAGGCTGAGGCAGGAGGATCGCTGTGAGTTCAAGACCAGCCTGAGCTACATAGTGAGTTCCAGGTCAGACTCAACTATATAGTGAGAACCCTATCTCAAAAAAACAAAAGATAAATAAAATTATTTACCACGTGTGTGTGTATGGATCTATGAGATGCTGGGGATGGAGGCCAGGACCTTACATATGCTGGGCAGAGGCACTGCCAGTGAGCTACTTGGCCCTTTTTATATTTTATTTTGAGGCAGGAGGGTCCCACTAAGTTGTTCGCGATAGCCTTGAACTTGGGACCCTCTTGGCCCAGCCTTCCAAGTAGCCAGGATTACACGCATGTACCACCTGCCCAGCTCACAGTCTGCTTATTTATGGAGCCCCTACTGTATGCATGCACTGGAGGTAGAGCGGAGTCCAGAGCCAACCAAAGCCCTTACCGTACAGAGCTTACATTCCAGTGTCATTTAGTTTTTGATTCTAAAGTTTTGAAGAAAATTTCTCTCTTCTTCCTCTTCCTTTTCTTCCTCCTCCTCCTCCTCTTCCTCTGCCTTCTTTTTCTTCTTTTTGAGACACTGGACATTGAGGCCGGGACGGTCGCCCTGAGTCCCAGCCCCAGCCCTATTCACTCACTGACTTACTCCTCACAAAGTCGCTGGATTGCCCCAGGTGGGGCTTGAACTTGCGATCCTCCTCACCCTCCCAGAGTGCTGCGATGCAGGCGTCACCGCCTCGCCTGGCTGTTAATTGATGTTTCAGTCACAAATTGAAAATATCTTAGGTCAAAAAGGCACCCCGGCGCCTAGCCCACCGGCAACACCGCGACGGTGTCGCTTGTTGCTCGCTCCACGCGCAGAACGACGGCGCGTGACTTGCTGCGCGGGGGACCCGGGTGCACACAGGAGGCTGGGGTTTTGTGCGGCCCCGGGTTCCGCTCCTCGGGGTGCAGAACACGGCCAGCGCCGGACCACCGTGCCCGCGGGGGGGGACGGGCGCCATCAAATCCCCTCCCGGAGGGTCCCGGAGAATCCATGGACTGCGGGTGCAGAGCGCTGGCGTCAGACTTCACTTCTGCGGCCGGCTGAGCCCCGCGTCGGGGTGGACAAGCGCGTGAGGGCGGGTGAAGTCGGGAGGAGCTCAGAGCAGGTTTCCCATCAGGTTCAAAGCGTCCAGGTTGTGCCCAAGCCAGGAGGGAGTTAACACGAAGCTCAAGGGTTTAGAATACAGGATGTGCTGCGTCTGTGTTAATGGGTTTCGGTTTCTTTTTTAACCCCTTTGGCTGGGGATTGAACCTGGGGCCTTGTGCTTCATGTACTCTACCCTGAGCTGCATCCTCAATCCTTTTTATTTTATTTTTGTGATAGAATAAGCATCTTTATTTATTCTTTTTTATTTTATTTTTTGAAACAGAGATTTGCTAAATTGTCCAGCCTGAGCTTGAACTCAAGATTCTCCTGCCTCAGCCTTCTGAATAGCCAGAATTACAGATATGCACCACCACACCCAGCTAGTCTTTTTTTTTTTTTTTTTTTTTTTTTTAAATACAAATTTGCTTTTTTTTTGGTTCAGGGATCAAACTTGCGCTTGCAAGGAGGGCAACAGAACCACTGAGCTAAATCCCCAGCCCTTGAATACAAATTTGAACAAACATAGAACTTCTGATGCCACCTGAATGGCTTGAAAGTGATGTCAGCAACTGAAGGATAAATATTCTAAAAACTACTGTAGTGGGAAAACATTAATGTGAAAACAGGGAGAGATGGGACCCTAAGGGTTTTATTTCTGGGTGATTTTCATGTCTCTGTTTCAGTAGAACCCAAGAAGCTGTAAAATGGCTGTTCCCTCCCCACCCCCAGGGCCAGCCTGGTACAGGGCAGAGGTGGCTTCTGGACACCAAGCCGAGGTATGACTGTTGGTGAGTGTGATTTAGGGTTGGATGGGGAAGAGTCATCTGTGAGTCTATGCTGAGTTTTCCCAATGATGTCAACTGCTTTTCATCATTGGAAAAACATATGAAACAAAAATTAAACATAGCACCAATTAAAAAAAAGAAAAAGACTTCACTCTGGAGCTGT